TTTATTTTAAAGGTAGAGGGACAGAGAGCAAACACACAGAGCGAGAGCTCCCATGACCTGGTTCATTCTCTAAATGTCCACAATTTCTAGGACTGGGCCAAGAGGCAGGTATTCAATCCAGGTCTCTCACATGGGTGGCAGGAACCCAACTGCTTGAACTATCAGTACTGTCTCCCAGAGTCTTAACTGGGAGGAAGTTGGAGTCAGGAATCAAACCTCAGTACTCTGATGTGGAGTATGGGCATCTTAACAGGGGCCTTACTCCTAGGATAAAGGCCCTCCACCTGGCAGCAAGTATTTTTTAGAAAAGCATGTTTCAAGCTGATCCCACATGTAATAATTACAAACACAAAATAGTGTTTGAAAAGGATAATATTTGTATGATTATGTCAATAATTTTCACAATGCAGATCAAGGTTTTAACCTTCCCCCAGTCAACCAAGAGCATTCATTTACCTCAAGTTATTCAGATTTGTTGAAATAGGAGAAAGAGGAGGTAAAGGCTGATCCCTAGGTTTTGCCTACCAATATGGGGTGTTTTTTGTTTGTTTGTTTAAATTCATTCAAACACAATGGTCTGGAAACTTTTAAGAATTTTCTAAATTTCTTAAGTAAATCATTTCTGATGCCCCTGGAATGTGAGGTCTTCTCTCCCAGAGTGGGGCAAGCTGTTTCTCTCCCTATCCCTTATTCCCAAGGGAAGATCAGGGACAAACAGTTCTGATAAATGAACTTTGAACCAGCTGAATGAATAACTCCAACAAAGAAGTTTTAAACAAGAAGAGTCTGAGTCTCTTAATTAACCACTTAAATTCTAAGCACTCTTTCTACTCATCTCTCCTACACAGGCATGCCTAGCTACGTAGGGACAAAAATCAGTTAAGAAAATATAGTCCTTTTCTTAGAATATATGAAGAGTAATGTGCTATTTTTTTACTTCTCTTCTATATTCAATCATCTGTTTTCTCTTAAGCAGTGACTTCAAAATGTTTTGATCATACCCCTGAATAAAAATATATTTTACAGCATTATCAAGAATATTTCTAGTTATGCATGTGCTTGAAATAAGATGTCACAAAATGGGCAGGGTATTTGGCTGAGTGATTAAGATGTGCTCATCCCAAGTACCTAGGTTTCAGTCCCAAGTCTGCTTCTGGCTCCAGCTTCCTGCCACAGCATCAAATGATGGCTCAAGTAATTGAGTTTCTGTCAACCATGTGGGAAACCTCTACTAGGTTCCTGGTGGCTTTAGACCTGGCCCAGCTGCTTTGGGCATTTGGAGAGTGAACCTGTGGATGGGAGATATCCCTCTCCCATGTGTGTGTGTGTGTGTGTGTGTGTGTGTGTAAACAAATAAATACATAAACATCCTTTACAAGTCAGGAGGTAAAATTTATCTTTACTCTGTATGATGTACTCTGTATTTTCTGTGCTTTAAAAAAAGTCACTCACACACAACTAAATTTATTTCATGACCCAGGTGATATTCTGTGACTGATAACTTGAAATATACTTCCCTAAAGGCCTAATGAGGTGAATAAAACCTTTGTCCCTTCATGGTATAGCTCCAGATGCTGTGCTTTCACATCGTTCTGTTTTGATAGCTCTACTGACCCCACAGTTGCAGGAAGCAATCAATTATTAAGGCTATCTCCATAACATTTATTGTAGAAGTCAAGATGCTTTCAGCTATATTTTATCAAAACCCAATCCAAACTTAAAGTGATAAGTATGATCTCATGTAACAGGAGAACCATGATAACGTTAACTTCAAGCATAGCTGTATACAGGGACTAAGATATTTTTATTTCTCCTCTCACCTCTCTAAGTTGTCTTATTTTCATTGAGATCTACTCTACTAGGTAGGGATCATGTCTTGTCCCAAACAAGAATCCCCACAGTTCACAATGTAAAAAGATGAAAAGTGCTGCTCCCCCCTCACTGTTCAGATGAAATCTCATGGAAGCATTCTGATTGGCCATGCTTTAGTCATGTACTCCCCCTTGAACCCATCACAAAGTCCAGATATATAAAGGAACTCTGATTGCTTCATTATGATCTCATGTTCAGCCCTTGACCTGGAGTGCAACAGCAGATTGACAGTACCTCCAGGCCCACATGGAAAGGGGAAAGTGAGATAGTTATTAAAATAAGGGAGGGGGCATTTTGCTCAGACCAGTAGAAAAATCAAGGAAGATAGATAGGTAGACAAATTAACAGTGGTAATTATAGAAAGATAGGTCTTGTGTGGAAATATAAATAACTTTCTTATCAATCAAGTCAATTTAGTAGCAGACTTTGTGACATTCTGTGCCCTTTTAGGAAGACAAGGGGAGGAAAGTGGCAGATAAACTAAAGAAATAGTGAATCCTGATTTTTGATATGCTAAATTGGAATAACATTGCAGGTAGCTTCAACAGTGCTTGCTCCTTCAAGGCAGAATCAAGCAAAGAAGCTGAGAAAGATGCTAAGGACAACTTTTCTTTTTGTCTTTGGTTACAAAAGGTATGTTAAAGGAATATAATCCCCAACGCACACAGCTCTGATAGGATGAAGGGCATGTGAGTACCAGGCATTAAGTGCTATTATAGCCATTTACAAAGATAACACTAATGACCATTTCCTGTAGGAGTGAATAACATTGAATCCATTTCCCATGCTGCATAGTTGATTGTGTCTCTTACATCCAAGCTCTTCAGCTGATGCCTTCAAATAACTCACAGCAGGTGTTCTTAAACCAAGGTCAAGTATGGATTCTGTATTTCTGAGACAGTGGAAATTTAGTAACCCACAGGGGTAGAAATCAAGATCTTTGCCTCATTGGTCCCTTACAGTACCTGCAGAGCTAACTCAATGCAGACCATTTGAGAAGGAAAAAAATTTAAATAAAAGATACCTTTGACAGCAATTATATAGCAGCTTTTGAAAGAATTCCATATGATTTACAAGCTTTAAAGGCAGTTTTTCAAAACATTCTCTTATGGCTGGTAAAGGTGAGAGGGTAGTAAGAAGATAGAAATAAGACAAGAGCCCTCTGCTTTCTTCCTCTTCTAAAAGCCTTTCCTTCATCAAAGGAACACATGGCTGCTGAGCAGCAGCTTACCATTTTTCCAGGGTCAGTTCACTTGTCCTGCTGCTCTAAACTCTGCTGAAAGCCAGCTCCTTGGGGAGCCCCAGCTGTTGGGGCTGGCCCCTCTTCAGTCTGCACACACTCAGAAGGAAATGTCCCTTGCTGAGAAGGCGGTGGTGTTGGGGGGAGAATCCATCTACTGTCAGGAAGTATCAATTAAATGTGGCTGCCAATTAATTTAATTTATATTTCTGCATGAAAAATGTCATTCCATTATACATGCACTGGAAGGATGCCAGGAGCCCAGGTTAATAAATTACATCTCTACTGACATCATATGAAATCATAAACTAATCATTTACTTATTAAATGCCCACCTGTGCTTGGGGTTATACCTTGCAGAAATCCAGTTGAAATAAGATCTGTCCAGTAGGGCCTGTGCCTACCCTGTGATCATCTGACACACACCCTTGTGCTCCTCTTCTCCTAGCTTTAGGCCTGTCTCCTGGGAGCAACTCTAAAACAAAATAATCAATATTCAATTACCAGTGGTTCTGAATGGCTTCACTGGATAAATCAGGGAATGAACACTGAGGAAGTATACATAATCTCCACTTAATCAGGGAATTGGTCTGTTCCGGTTAACAGGTTCCCTGCCATAATTGATATGGATTCACATCAGCTGGTGGGGGATGAAGGTTATGAAGCTCCCACTATGTGCCAGACTTGCTGCGTGTTTGATTTTGAAGCTTTATGGCAATCTGTCAAGGCGGGGATTATTCTCTCACCCTACTCCACCCCTGTTTTATTTTTATTTATTTACTTATTTTAAAAGATTTGTGCATTTGAAAGGCAACATGTCAGAGACAGAGACATATACACAGAGAGAGAGAAGGAGGGAGAGACAGAGAGAACTTCTATCCACTGGTTCCAGTATACACTAATGAAAAGGAGGTCAGATATATAGAGTATCAAGTAATTTGGAGGTTTGATATTTTCCACTAGTAAATATCATCTAACTGAATTTGGGTAAAATGCCCTTTGAGTAAGTCGAATAGACAGGGGCTTGGAATGGGGGAATTAATTATTGCTGTTGTCTCAAGGAAAAGAATCCCACTGTGGCAGGAAGAATATAATTAATGGGAGGTAAGCGCCAACAAATCACTCCCTAAAATATTAATGCTATCAAAGAACAGCTGGGTAATGAGAAAAACTTGACCCTTGGGGACTGCAGAGGCTGCTGCTGCAGAACTTTATGTACTTGTGATGTAATGAAATTCCTCTCCATGTTAACAGCAATAATACTAAGAAGTGTGGTTCTGGGAAAGTTATTAGCAGTAAATATCTCTTTGTAGCTTTAGCATCTTATCATAATTATTCCATCTTACTTTTGCTGTGATTCCAAATTACCTTTCCCCTTCAGTGCTTAGGATATATTTACAACATTAATAACACTTCTAAAAACAAAGTAGGGTAAAAAAAAAAAACCTCATTAAGCCTGGTAAGAACACTTTTTTTTTGGTAAATAAAGACCCAGTACCTAAAAAAAAAATTCTGCAAAAACATTTTTCTATGTGTTTAAATTCTTTAAAACGATATAAACTGTCCCAAGAGTTGTTGGTTGATTAAAAAAAAAAGCCCTAACTTAATTTTGTTTTATTGAATAGCTTTTATTGTCCCAAGAAACATTTATTTCTAAGAGAATACGTTAAATATTTACAGTCCTACTGAACATGTTAAATGTGTTGGACATTTAGTTTACAGGGCTATAAACCAAAGGATAATCCCAGCATTAAAAATTAGAAGTCAGAAGCAATTCTTTAGTTGGAGTACACTTTAGCTTAGATTTCATAAAAGGAGCCATTTTATTCGAAGGTTTTTTTTTTGTTTTTTTGTTTTTTTTTTTTTTGACAAGCAGAGTGGACAGTGAGACAGAGACAGAGAGAAAGGTCTTCCTTTTGCCGTTGGTTCACCCTCCAATGGCCGCCATGGCCGGCGCAGCGCGCTGAACCGATGGCAGGAGCCAGGTACTTATCCTGGTCTCCCATGGGGTGCAGGGCCCAAGTACCTGGGCCATCCTCCACTGCACTCCCTTGCCACAGCAGAGAGCTGGTCTGGAAGAGGGGCAACCGAGACAGAATCCAGCGCCCCGACCGGGACTAGAACCCCGTGTGCTGGTGCCGCAAGATGGAGGATTAGCCTAGTGAGCCGGGGCGCCGGCCTTTTTTTTTTTTTTTTTAAAGAATCTCTAGAACAGACTGGACCATCTCTAAGCTGCTGGTGTGACAGGCACTCGCTGTTGCACGCTGGCATCGCTAGTGCGCAGCCCATTTGGTTTCACTCACTTCGCCAGCATCAGGGACTAGGGTACTCAGCGTGTTTGACAAATAGAGCCACGCCAAACACATTCACACATCCCCATAAACGATAAGAGGTAGCTCATGGTGCAGCAAAAATAAATTCTTTAATTTGGCCCAGGTTTCACATAACACCAGTTCATAAGGCAGTTACGCCTCTAAAGGATCAGTGCCCCTGCAAATAGCACATGGAGGACACATCATTTAAAGAAATGTTTCTTTGCCCGAACAGAAGTTCAGATCTGCTCAATTGTCATTCATTTTGTTCTGTGTCCTTTAGGGGCTCAAACCGCGAAATCAGGCCCAGTTCGGGTGCGCGAGCCTTGGCTGGCGGAGGGGGCGAGAGGCGCGCAGCATAGGGTGGGCGAGGGGGCGACGGGGTGTGAACGTGGGAATACCGTCCCTTTCTTCTGGGAACCATGGTGACACAGGTGGAAAGCTCAGTGATAATGTTGCCGACCCGTAAATATCCTGTTGTGAGTCCCAAACCCCAAGAATCGGTGTCCCAGGAACGGGGAAACAGAATATCCGACAAACTTCAGTCACCGCGTGGACACACGTGGAACCCCGCAACCTCGACCTCAGTGCGCACGCTTGTCTGGGCTGGGTGAGGGCTGGGGTGTGTGCCGGTGAGGTCCCAGTCCCGCAGGTTTAGCGTCGGGTCCTGGGGGAGCGCGATGGGCGGGGGTGACAGGGGTAGGCCGCGGACCACGCGTGAACCAGAGAGCGCAGAGGCCCCGCAGCGCTCGCCGCGCCCGCCATGATTAGCTCCATTCGCGACACCCGGGAGGGCGGACTCTCTCTTCACCCTCCTCTCCTCCTCCCTCTTCTCCCTCTTCCTTTTTAAGGGACGCCTCGCTGGCAGAGCTGTCAGCAGCTGGGAGGCCATTTGCACTTGGCGGCGGCCAGTCTGACTCCCGCTCCTGTAACAGGCAAGGGCGGGGGCTGGGCAGCCGCACGTGGGGAACAAATTCTGCCTCCTTCGGGCTCCTCTTGGGACCAGGCTACAGGCACACGTCGGGACGCAGTGTGGTCCTGGACTTGGCAGCCCTCGCCCTACGAGATGGCTCCCGTGAGGAGTGGGGAGGGAGGTGGCCGGGGGGGATCCGCGCGCCCCTCGTGCCCCTCGCGCCCCTCGCATGGTGAGCCTGGCAAAGGGCGGCAGCAGCAGCCTCAGTGGCAGCCTCTGCCAGCACCTCCCATGGTCCCTCGCCAACTCGCACCCGTGCACCATGCAGACCCCCTGCCTGCGGAGTCCTCAGAGCAGCCCCTGTTGCCTCTCCGGCCACCGCTAGCCTCAGAGGGAGCGGTCAGCCGCCCGTGGCGTACCCCGAGGGAGGCGGAACTGTGGTGCCAGGAGTCAGTCCCAGCTCAGCCCTCGCTCTCCAGCTGCGTGCGTCCCCTTCCCCGCCGCCCAGGCATCCAGAGGCGATGGAGGCGCTGCTGGCTCTCTGCCTCCTGGGCTGGCTGCCCTGGGGACCTGCGGGTGCCCAGCAGTCTGACGAGTACTGCCGCGGCTGGTTGGCCGTGCAGGGCAACCACCACGAGGGCTTCCAATGCCCGGACTTCGACACGTTGGACGCCACCATTTGCTGAGGCTCCTGAGCGCTCCGCCGCTGCTGAGCCGAGGCCAACGCCAGGCTGGAGCAGGGCGGCTGCACGAAAGACTGCGGCGAGCTGGAGCACCCGGGCATCACCACGCATAAATGCCAAGCCCTGGGGAGAAGTCCCCCGCAGGCACGCCGAGAGCGTCCGAGTGCTCTCGGGGGAATGCGCAGGCCTCCCAGGGTCTGTGCGCAGAGTGCACGCAGCAGCCAGGTGGGGGGAATCAAGTGAGGAGTGGGTTTTCTGGCCAGGAGACCTTGTTCCTTTGCAGCCCTCGCGAGTCCCCGCGAGGGACAGCGAGGACCAGGAGTTTACACCTGATGGTCCGGGAGAGGACGCTGGAGGTCCGGGGAGGAGGCGGTCGGGGTAGCACTAGAGTACAGGTGGCTTTCGGGGCGGCGAGGGGCCACCGTGGTGCCAAGGGCGTGGCAGCACGACTGTGGCCCCGCTGCGCTAAGCAGCTTCAACCTCTTTCTTCTTCTCCTTTTCTTTTCTTTTCTCTCTCTCCTCCCTTCCTTCCTCCATCTCTCTCTTTCTCCCACCATCCCTGTAGCATTTTTAAGACACTGCTCCACTCTTCCGACTTCCTTTCATTTCTCTGCATCAAATGAGTCTCCCCAGCCCACCCCCTATTGTCACGCCTTTCAGCAACACCCAGGACTTGGAGGTTGAAATTTAGAAACTGGGGTCGCAGGGGCCTCCCTGCCCCCTATTCTCGCGTCGAGAAACACGGGTCAAATTTCCGTTCACTTCAGAGGGAAATAAATCACGACCCCAGCACAGGAAATTTACACCTTGAAAAAAAAAGTTTCCACCTCAATTGGACCGTCAGGGAAACCCCTCAGGCTCCAGGCCACGGTTTTATGGTGAGGAAACCCGAGAGGCGGGCTGAGCCCAGAGCGGGGCGGCGGGAGGGGGGCGAGGGGGGAGGGCGAGGGAGGGTCGCCCAGGCCACAGCCCGAAGCCGGGGAGGGTCCCGGGAAAGGCTGGCGGCCTCACTGAGGAGGCCCTCCTCCCGAATTGCTGCCTCCAAGGAAAGCGGAGCCAGCCCTCTGCGGGTCCACCAGGCTCTCAAGGGAGTGAATTGCGGGAGTCCGGGATTCGCTGGCTCTGGCCTGCTTGTTGATTAAATGAGTGTGTGAGTGCTTGGCGGGGCGCGCCATGAGGGCCTCCATTTACCTCCCTTGCCTTGCTCCACAGTACCGTTAACCGCGGGAGAGTGGGTGGCCGGCAAGGGCTTAGACCTGGGAGTCCCCTGAGGTTGTAGGCTGTCAGCCACTGGCTGTGTTTTTGGAAAAGTCAAAAAAGCCCGTGGGTAAGACAGCTTAGCATGTCCTTTTAACAGGCTCTCCATGGCACTTGAATCAGATCATGAAAGGGCCAGGTGCACAGTAGGACTTAAGTCAATGCAGGTTTTCTCTTCTCCCTGAGCTGGAGGCTGCATCCCATCGTGGCTCTATCAGAAGGGGAGAGACATGGAGAACTGAACCGGGTCAGGGTGGGGGATGCCAATGGGGTGAGAAATGTCTGTCTAGTAGAGAAAGAGAAATGCTCTCAGAGCTGTTGGAGCTTGGGCTGCGGACACCAACAGTGGTAATACTGAGCCTCCTCCTCCCTCCCCTCAGTTGCCCAGGCAGAGCCTAGGCTTGGGAGACCCTGATGCAAACACTTGTGTGTCTGTTTTTGCCTTGTAGAGCCCCTCTACGTCCCCTTCCTCATCGTTGGCTCCATCTTCATTGCATTCATTATCCTGGGCTCTTTAGCAGCTATTTATTGTTGCACCTGTTTGAGACCCAAGGAGCCCTCACAGCAGCCAATCCGCTTCTCACTCTGCAGCTATCAGATAGAGATCCTGCCCATGATCTTGACCTCCACGAGCCTCAGGACACTTTCCAGACAGTCCAGCACAGCCACCAGCTCCAGCTCCACAGGTGACTCCATCCTTAGCGTCTCCTTTGCCAGGATGGAGCCAAACTGCCTGGTGCTCTCACCTCCCCCACCTTACACCACAGGCCACCCAATCCACCTGACGCAGCCATCTGGTTTCCTGGTGTCACCTCAATATTTCACTTACCGCCTTCAACAGGAGCCCCCACAGCCTGGGAAGAACTGTCCAGACTTCAGCTCCAGTTGACAGGTCATGGCCATGAATCCAGCATGTAGTAAAGTGACAGACAGGTGGAGTGATGTTTCCAATGTCAAGTGCTTTGCTGAGGGAATTTCTCATGTAATTGACCAACGTCTTGGCAGAAAGTGGTAAGAAAACACAGCACTTTCTAGTCTTGAGGTTCCTGACTACAATCACAGAATGTCTGGCTTGGCAGATGTTATGACTATTGCATTTCAACCCATGCTACTTCTATTCAAAATATGCAACAGTTTGACTTTGAAGTCACAAATTGACTGAAAATGTTTTACTCGACAATTTAGCTGTGCAGTGCTTGGAAAAGGGCTACATGATCTTTTTCACATCAGTTGTTTATGGAGTTATTATACAAATATACATAAATGAGTGAAGAAAAATACCTAATTGTGATTATCAAAGGATCAGTTAAAAATTAACTATGAAGTAAACTTGAGAAATCAATGAATAACCTATTTATATCTTTTGGAGTAACCTAATAATATTAGCATGTTGGGAACATTAACTTTCTAAATTAATAAGTAAATTTTGTTTTAAATATTATTTTCTTTCAATAATTCAAAGTTTCAATAACCACAGGAGGAGCTTCAAGTTTTATGCACTCTTATATATTTGTTCATTGCAACACAGTTTCTATGTAAAGTCATTTCCCCAACCCACCTGAGGGAATATTTATTGCAGACTTTTTGGTCAGCAACATTTAGTGTTTAAATGAAAGTTGAACAGTTGGCTCTTAAAACATTTATTTATAAAATGAGTTATCATTAAATAAAAGTCAAAAAAATGAGTTATGTATAAATGTAAAAATTGATATTTTAATATATTTACTACACTGATAGTACTAATTATTTAGTACTCACACTGTAATTTCTATGTTAATGATAATTGTGGCGTTCTAAGTCCAGCTATTGGTGTAATCATCTAATATTACATATCTCAAGGGCCACTGAATTTCATGCCTGATGATTATGTATGTATTTGGGCAAATATCCTGCTGGGTTAGAATAAATAAAATATGTTTTTATGAACTCTATTTGAATTTCAGATCAAAGCACTTCATTTTATCTCCTGAGAGATATTGTTTGTTATTCAATAAAAAGAAATGTCTTTACCTCATATCTTGAAATTAATTTTTTTTCTCCAGCAGGGCTTAGGAGAGCAGCAGAGGAATCGACATATTCAAGCAGTCTCAGTCTGAGGGCTGTACGCAGCCCTTGGACAAGTCCTTTGGTCTGTAGAGTTTTAGCAAAGCGACACTGCTTGTAAGAATCTAGATTTCTGGCTTCTTGTGACATGCAGAAGGGGTGGCATGATGGGTCCTTCACTGCCATGGGGTCAAGCCAACCCTCTTCAGTCAGGGCACCGCCTGCCACTGGCTGGCTTCCTACCTGGTCTTCCCCTACCTGGCCCACCTGGCCCCTGCAGTGTGGCCTGGGAGTGCAGGTTTAAATGAATTCATACTATCACATGTCTTCCTCAGTGGTTCTTTCTGAGCACAACTGGGCAAGGATTGAAGTTGGATCTCAGAGAGTGGCTTTGTTTTCTACATGAGGGAACAAGTTCAAAGATTTGCTCAGTCTAATGGCTCTGACTTCCAGTCTCTTGCTTTCTTCCACATCCACACGGGGTCTGGTTCCCAGGTATCTCAAATTACTCCGGATAATTCAAGAAGGAAATAGTGGGTGTGAGAGGGTGGTCACACTCCTACACCATCAGACTGATTTTATCTGTTTGCTGTGTACTGCTTGTTTTTTCAGTTTTAAGTTCACCTTTATTGAGCTCTTATAATGGGCTGAGCACTCTTCTAATTATTTACATATACTAACTTATCTCCCAAACAACCTCAACAGGGTGGGATTATAATTCCTATTGTACAGATTTGGAAATTGAGACTCAGAGAAATAGGTCCCACAGTTAATCACTCCTGGAGTTGGTATGCAAAAATAGATTCAAACATCAAGGGGAAACACTTGCTTTGGGATTCTGACATCTCTGTACACAAAATCCACTGCAGAGGTCGAGTGTGAGTTAAATCCTCCAAGGAGGCTGACCCAAGGAGCTCTCCTTGGAACAAATATTCTGTGAGATCCCTTTAACCATCTTAAAATGAAACTCATAACCTAACTCATAATTATAATATTATTGGCAGATAGAAAGGAGCAAGAAAAGGAAAGTAACTTGTTTCAAAATATAACAATTTGAACAGACTCAAAGAACTCAGAGGCTAACTCCTTATGCAGAATCACAGGAGTGCAGCAGCTCTGAATCCGTATCACTGCAGGTGTGTGAGATGGACAGCTCAACACAGTTGCCCTGCTGCTGTTACAGTGATTTTTCAAACAAAGCAAAGGTAGAACTTCCTTTGACTTACATAATAGTTGTATAAGTAGAGAATTTGCTATATATGAAGCCAAGAGTATTTTCTTTATAGGTGTAATGGGATTAATTTTGTACGCCAATAGGAATGGTGGGACATTGCAAAGTCCTGGTCCTGGACATAGAGTATTTATTGTGCAGGTTGCTTCATTCATTGTAGTATCTCTGTTATAACCAAGTTCCACCCAGTGAATGCCAGTAGCACACCCACCTCTATCCTCAATGCCACAGGTGCCCCCCTGCAATTCTGCAGTATCCTCCAGAGGATAGAACCATTAGGTTTGTCAGGTTTTTCTGTGACTGTATTTTTCTATCTGTTTGGAGAGCAGTTATGTCCACCAGGCTGATTAACACTAACAAATTCATACAGAGCTCACATCTGCAGATTTTCCTTCCTTAGTAGGATGTCCCAGTCAGCTAAGTTCACTGGTCATATATCATTTAAAATTAGGGAGATAATGCTACCTCATTAGACATCCAGTGATAATGAATCACATCACATTCTTATGTAATTGGTGGCATAGTGCATGTCTTTGACTTTCTATCTAGAAGCTACATAGCTGGTAGTATTATTATTCACAATCCTAGGGTAACAAGGCCATCCTGTGACAGAATTCCAGATGCTGTCCTATTCAACCAGCTTTTTTGGAACAACACTTGTGAGGCACTGTAATAGGACTTGAGAATCCCAAGATAAATGATAAGCTGCACCTCTAACTCAAGGAGCCACTATTTAACAGGGACTTGTGGTAAAAGTTATAGGTGCTTTATGAAAGAATCTTGTTACCTTTTGGGCTCTCTAGAAACACACAGTCAGACAAGGGAGGAGGAACTCATAAACCAACACTTAAACTGCATTGAGCTAACTGTGATGGTTACAGGGGAGTACAGCATGCCCAGGCAGCATGGACAAAGGGCATTCATGCAGCCTGGAAGGATTAAATTTGGAATTGGGCCTTGAGATATGCATGGAATTTGAATGAAGGAGACCAGGGTTGGGTTGGGGGGAGGTGAGGAGGAAGAGATAGAGGAAGAAAACATAGATGGAAATAAGGGGATGAGCATATTACAGAAGTACCCATGGGCATGAAACAACAAAGAATATTCTGGAAAGTAGACACAATCCAAAAGATAAGTGAAGGTGGAGAGCTCCTGAATGCTAGGGTGGTGGCTGGGAAATGTGCCAGTTGCAAGACAGACCTTGAAGGGTTTTACAGAGGGCAGTGGCTTTATCACATCTTCTTTTTGGAAGATTAGACAGCAAGGGTCAACCCAAATCACTTGGTTTTCCACAGGGATATTCACCATAACCTGCCACAACACCAGAATGCAGCAAAAACTTGTCTGATGGATGTTTTTGTTACTTTCACACTCAAACACAAAAGTGAGCCTCAATATCTTCAAACCATGGTTATTATTAACAGTGAAAGCTCTATACCCTAAAAGATGGTTATGTCAATAATGAAAAACATTTATTAAGCTCATGTGTATTCTGAGTGCTTTATGGATTGTACTGTTTCATCTTCACAACCCTGAAGCAGGGACTATCATGCCTGATTTGCAGATGAAATCAAGGCAGGAAGGTTAATCACGTCCAAGGGCAGATAATAATAGGAGAGCCCAGATTTGAACCCAGGCATTCTGTTTTGAAACTACAATTTTTGTGACATTAGGCTTAGAAAGCCTACATTTTTCAGGAAAACATATCCATCCTAATTTCAGAAAATTTGTGGGAGAAACATTATTAATTGTGTAATATTTTATCCTGAAAATATCAGGGGTTTGAAATAAGTAGAGTTTGTGCTACATCATGAGAACATAGAATACAAAAAAGATTGAATAGAGGTACTGGATGATAAATGTTTCTCCCCATATGCATGTGAGACACAGGGCACAAAAGGTTGATTTAGCTTTTAATTAATTTATTTGAAAGGCAGAGAGACAGAAATTTTCTGTTGACTTGTTCAGTCCTCAAATGCCCACAACAGCTGGTACTGGGCCCACATAGGTGACAGGAACCCTATTACTTGAATCATCACTGCTCCAAAGTGTATAAGCAGGAAGCTGGAATCCCAAAAGAGCCAGACCTCAAACCCAGGCACTCTGATGTGGTTTGTGGGCATTGTAAGCCAGTGTCTCAACTGGTGCCTCAAATTTCTACCCTTAGCATGGATTTTGAGATTTTGAGTTTTTCTGGCTCTATCTCTTAAAAGAGGAGTAGCTTTTGAGTATTGTCTTTCTCACCCCTTCTTCTCTTTAAAAAAAAAAAAAGATTTGTTTGAAAGGCAGAGTTACAGAAGGAGGGAGGGAGGGAGAGAGTGAGCAAGTGGGAGTGAGCTTCCATCTGCTGGTTCACTCCCCAAATGGCTGCAATGGCTAGGGCTGGGCCACACTGAAGCCAGAAGCCAGAAACTTCTTCTGGGTCTCCCACATGGGTGCAGGGGCCCAACCGCTTGGGGCATTTTCTGCTGCTTTTCCCAGGTTATAAGTAGGGAGCTGGATTGGAAGCAGAGCAGCCAGGACTTGAACTGTCACCAACATGGGATTCTGGCATCTCAGCCGGTGGTTTAACCTGCTATTCCACAAGGCCAACACCTTGGCTATTTTCTTAACTGCCTTTTTCAAAAAAAATTATTTGCATGCATTTCACAAACACAACATTGGGAACATAGCAATTTTTCCCACTGTACTTGCCCTCCCACCCACTCTCCCACCCCTCCCCCTCCTCCCTCTTACATTCCCCATCCTGTTTTTTTTTTTTTTACCAAGATTCATTTTCATTGAACTTTATACACAGAGGATTAACTCTACATTAGGTAATGGCTTAACTGCATTTTATCTATTTTCTCATCTGTAAAGTGGAGCTATGAAGAGTACCTTATTGGATAGGGTTGTCCTGAGAAGTGAGAGGCATCATCTCAAGTAATTAACATTCCAGTGGCTAGGGAACTGTGCAACAATCAGCGCTAAATAGCAGGGAGCAGATGAAATATTCTAGAATAAAAACGAAAGGTCCAGTACTGCAGAAGGCAGATGTCAGTGTCAGTCAGGAACAGGGAACAGAGAAAATGGCCAACAGTTTGATGCTCCTGGTAACCGCAGTTTCCCAACTTGAGGCAGAAAGGGCTCAGGGGTCGGAGAGATGGGGCTGGACCCTAGGCCGAGGCCATGTCCTGCAGAGTGCAGGCGATCTAAGGAGGAGGCCTAGGTGCCACACCTGCGACCAAGCCTGTAAGCGGCCACTGCCCCCCTTGGCCCTCCTGCAGGCCTCTCATGCCTCCCAACTGGGTCTCAAGGGGGCTGTGGTGTACATACAGAGCAGAGTACGCAGAGATAGAGGAGTCTGCACACCCTGCGCTCCTCCAGAAACCGGGCCTGGCCGCCCGGGATGCTGATGAGGCAGCCCGGAAGGTTGATGATCTTGTGTGCCCAGAGTGGAGATCCTTGTCCACCACGCAGGCCATACACCCTCGGCCCTTGCGAGATGAGGCACTGAGGCAGCCGCTGATGCTGCGGGGTCGTACCCAAAGACGAGAAAGCAGCCTGGCAGAGGGCGAGGGGCGCTGGCCTGCTTGAGTAGAGGGGCGGCAGGCGCATGGCACGGTAACATTCCCTACAGCTCTCCCTGCCCCCTGGCCCTGGGCTAGACATTGCGGCCACCACCTCTCTTACTCGACCACCGCCGCTGCCACCATGGGCAATGACAGTGGCGGGCCTGGCGGGCCGAGCCCCAGCAAATG